CACACACACACACACACACACACACACACACACACACACACACACACACACTCGGTGCCTTTTCCATTACACGATGGCTCTTTTTTCGTTGCTACAGTGATTCCATGTGTGGAATGAACAACAATCGACTAATAAATGTTCCATAAGACAAAGTGTCTGTGGGACACTGTGGACGAACGTTCCTCCTTCGTGTCTTTAATCTTTGGTGAAACTGAACGTTAACAGACTAATCTCGGGACTTTTCAGTTTCTCTTACGCGAATACTATCTCTGTCAAAACTCTGTATTTACTCTGCTGAGATCTTACAATATCACAGAGAATACTTTGATATATTGAGTTCCCACTATGAGAACAATAATATCAACTCTGTCTCCATTCGACTCTCAAGTGTTTTGTCATGAAAAATGTCGAAGCTATTTTCAAAGAAGTATTTGCTCTTTCTCTCTTTTCAAATATTTATTTAATGGTCAGAACTGTAACTGAATAACTGAATTCTGGATTATGAGTCAAATAAAACAAGAAACCTGAAGCCATCTCATTAGTCCACGTCACAGGCTTTTCTTCCAAACAAATTCCTGTTGTTTTATAAGCTAATGATTAAAATATATATTAGCTGCAGTCCTATTTAAGTGTTATCGACCATATTCATTTACCATTAGTGTTTATTTGGTAAAAAAATACCAAGCTTTTGCTTTTACACATCTCCTGAAACGCAAAAGTTTGTTTTCTTCTCTTCTTTTAAATCATCTTGCTCGACAACACCTGGTTGTGTCTGGAACTCATTTCTTATATATTATATCATATAAAATCATGAGTGACATCATAAAAACCAGGTTTTGTTTATTCAGCTCCTCAGATCTTCTGGAAGAACTTTAATGAAATGACCTAAAAATAACCTGACCTCCCGTATCCTTAATGTTTGTGACTTATTATTTAGTCATGGCGAACAATGCTCTGCCTTGCTACCTCCTCTCGAACGTTAGCATCCAGACTAAATAAACAGTTCATCGTCCGCCTGCCACGGCGTCTCATGTCTGACATCACAGACTCCCACAGTGAAGCCTGCATGACGGGAAATGGATTCCTCAAAGTTCTTCTGCTGTGTTTGTGGAGTAAAACCAAGCGAGGTCAGAGCTGAGTGTTTGTGTGTGTGGGTGTGGGGGGGTGTCATTGTGCCAGTGGCGCCCACTCTGCCTGCAAACGCAGGCCGACATCAAGGGCACACACGGAAAAAAACACTTAAAGCCTTTGGTCTTCTTTTAATTGGCGGTCATGTGAGCTCTTTGTAAATCCCATTGATCTGCGTCTCTTTTTGGAAACAAAGACAGTCGACGGACCTTTGTGATTTCTCGCTGTCTCTACCTCTTCCTCTCTTTTGTCTCATCCTCTATCACGCCACGATAGCTTGGCGGTTTTGGGCACGGCGAGAAAAACAAGTCTGCGAAGTGAAACAGACGCTGTTACCGACCGACGGAAGACGACTCCCCCTCTATTTAGGAATCAAATCGACTCACTCACCGTCACCTGCTCAAATCCAATCACTTAGTGCTGTGTGTGTGTGTGTGTGTGTGTGTGTGTGTGTGTGTGTGTGTGTGTGTGTGTGTGTGTGTGTGTGTGTGTGTGTGTGTGTGTGTGTGTG